CCGAACTATGCTCACCTCTACCAAAAAATGAAGGTGTTGAATTAGCTAGTGACTACTGACCCATTGTCTTAACTAATGTCACATACAAAATTTTGACAAAGATTATTACTACCTGATTGAAGTCTTAATTTGCTTCCTTGGCTTATCTCTCATTTGCAAAACGCATTCACTCTAGGCAAACAACTGTTAGATATTCCATTATGAAAATTGATTTATCTAAATCTTATGATCGTATTAAGTAGAATTTTTAACTACATGTTCTCAAGTTATGGGGTTTTAGTGAACAATTTTGCCAGATTATTTTTAATATGTAGCAACTTATTTTTTTTCCATATTGCTAATTAAATGGGGTGACAACCACTAAGCTTATTCCACAAAAGGGTTTAAGGCAATGGCACCCTTTATCTCCGTATTTTTATCCTTAGAGGCAATGCTTTATCTAGGATGTTATTCAAAGAACTTCAAAATAGAAGGCTTCATGGTGTTCAATTGGGAGTTGGTAGTGTGAGTATCAATCACACAATGTATGTAGACAACATTCTTATCTTTGGTGGGGCCTCTTTACATGAAATTGCCATTGTTAAATGATGCTTGATTATTTTAGTGGCTGGTCTGGTCGGGTCAACAAGTGAGCCACAATAAACCCTCTATTTATTTCAGTATAAGTGTTTATGGGTAGATGGGGGGTGGGGGGGGCAATGGATGACAAATTTCTTGGGAGTGAAACCTATGGTAGACCAAGTGGTATATCTTGGGTGTAATTTTCAAGAAACTTGAGGTACATAGAGAGGAGGAATTTTTCAAAATTTCGGACAAAATTAAATCTCGCATGTAAGGATGGAAAGGGGAATTGTTATTCATGCAGGTTGAACAGTTGTCATACAGAGTATAATATCATCCCTTCTTTTGTTATGGCTACTAAGTTGCTTCCCCAAAGTTACTGTGATCAACTTACTCAAGTTACAAGAAGATTTTGGTGGGGTTATGAAGGAAATGGTTATCATATATATTCAAGGCCTTATTTGTGTGCAAAACTGTCATGGTTTGGATTCAAAGACTATCACCTTAACAATTAGGCATTACTATTTAAATTGTATTGGAGATTCTTAACCTCCCCTATGCAATTATGAGTATAGGTTCTTACCTTTTAAATTTTTACATGGTTCAACAGGTTTCTAGAATGTTAAATCCAGTGCTCATCAATTTATCACTTGGTCAAGCATGCTTAAATGCATATCTCCTCTCAAACAATGTTGTCGCTAGATATGTTATAGGTAATGGATGGTCCATTTACTGGGTTATAATGACCCTTGACTATCATACCGGAAAGAACCTACCTTGATATGTGATTCTCCGTCATCATGTTTTATGTGTAAAGTTTCATATTTTATAAACCCATCCATTAGTTCATGGGTAAATTTCAGGTTAATGGAATACATTGATGATGAGGGTATAAATAGATATGCCTATTCATTCAATGGAAGTGGAGTAGCATTGGCCTATAAGTTTTTGATAGGCCAGCTTGAACAACTGCCAACTTCATGTTTAGATTTTGGGCAAATTCCATTGAAATCTTTTTGGCAAGTTAAAAATTTACCCCCATGAATTCATCTATTTTTATGGGGATATTTGGTGGGAGATTTTCTTGTTACCGAGGTTATCACTAGATTTTCAAGGGGTATTAACCCTACCTGAACTCTTTGTGGAGTTGGTATAGAGTGTATTATTCATCTATTTTTCACATGCTCAATCACTAAGTTGGTGGAGGATCATTAAATGGTTGGTTCTTACATTGGTTTTTTACTCGATAGACTCAACACATTTATCAATATCTACCCACGGTACTATAAATATCTGTACTATTTGGAAAGCTATATGCAAGACTGTGACGGAACACAAAACATTCGATCAATTGTCAATCGTTTATTGTTAATATCTATATTGATGTTATTGTAAGCGATAAAGATTTACCCTCATTAATCGATATTTTTTTTTATGTCTACTAGCTTAGACCCCCTCTCCTTGCACTTGGGTCAAGACAATATTCCCTTTAGTAAAACTAAACTTTGATGGAGCGTTGGATGGAATTAATGGCAACGTAGGATTTCTCATTTTTGACAACAATGGTAACTTCTATTATGGATGATATATAAAGATTTCTCTTGCATCTCTAATAGAAGTGGGAGTCACAACAACTCTGAGACCCACACTTTTTTTTCGTAGAAACCAGCCTCAATAGTAGTTGCATGGGTATTTTGAACATTTACATGTCTCTTGTTAGAGGATTCTAATAAAGGTGATCTACTTGAAATTGTGTTAGAAAGTTTAAGGGAGGTAATTTGGAATCGGCCCCTACAATGTAGGTTCTTGGTATATATATATATAATTATATATATTTGTACATGTAATTGTATATATATATTACAATAACACAATTACATATCATACTTTTTTTTGTTTAGTACAATGTATATATAATATTAGAGATATGCCCAATTCTTTTTTTTTATTTTCTTGTGTTTTTATACTTTATCTGCTTCTATTTTTTAATTTTAGTATTTAATTATGGTACCATTAGTTAACCCATTTGACCTAAATGGTTGAATTGCTTACCCACCACAAGGTAGAAAAAAACGGTTTTTTGGGTTAATTATTTTTCAAAATATTAAGATTATACTATTAAAATTAATTCTGTAGATTTAATTAGCACAAATTTATAATGAGAAACAAATTTTCCTTAAATATAAGATTTAATGAGAGAATGGGAGTTAATACCTTATATATGGGACTTTAGGAGAGATAACCAAAAAATGGTTTCATTTCTAGTTGTTTTAAAATTTTATATTCCATCTCCATCATTAATAAGAACATTTTTTTTATTTGTCATATATGTACCCAAAATTTTCTATATATTTTATATTTTTGTATTTTATTTATTTTTGAGTTTTTATTGTTTAAATATGGCATCATGTGTTTGCCCATTTGACCCAAAATGGTTAAACTTCTTACTACCACCTAAACGAAAATAAGATTTTGTTTTTGGGCCGATTTTTATTTATCATATATGTGCCCAAATTTTGTATATATTTTCTTTATATTTTATATTTTTGTATTTTTATATATTTCTGAATTTTTATTGTTTAATTATGGCATCATGGGTTGGCCCATTTGACCCAAAATGGTTAAACTTCTTACCACCACCTAAATGAAAATACGGTTTTGTTTTCGAGTTGATTTTAAAAATATATATTTTTATATTATTCAATTATTATGTATTGATATAATTAGTAGAATTTAGTGATGAGAAACAAAAATACCTTGAATATATAATTCAACGAGAGAGAATATGAGTTAATACCTTAAATGTGAGACTTAATGAAAAGAAATTGAATGAATTTAATAATAATATTCAGATTACATTTCTTGCCCTCACAACAAAGAGGTACCATATTTCAAAATACTATAGTGTTGCGTTGCTGATGTGTTTTGGTCCTCTTGGACTTGCAAATTTCTATGGGAAAGGCTTTTCTACCTAAAACATTTTTATAATTAAAATGACACTCATATATGATGTATCAATATACAATTATCACCAATTTTCATAAACTAAAAACAAAACAACAACGCAATGCCACCACACAAACACCTCCTTGTCTTTGGGCCAAATCTGGTGAGCCCGATTAAAATGGTAGAGTTGATTCTAGGTCTTACCACTTAAGTAGACTTGTTCATGGGCCATGTAGCGCGAAGCCTATTATTTATTGGGCCTGGACATTATTTTAGGCCTGTATGCTTGTTGTTGGGCCCGAAAGACTAGGCTTTATTTTTTGGGGGCCGAGCTCATGCTTTCTCAAAAAACCTAGCCTGAACCCAATAATATTTTATATAATAAAAATATATATATAGTATATTTTTCTTTGTTCCTCTTCGTTTTTTTTTCAAGCATTTCAACATATTTGGGTTTTAAGGTCATTTGATATAAATAATTTATTTATTTATTTTTATTGAGTGAAAAAATATTTTTGCCCATGGCTTTATAGGAAGGCGAGGCTCGGACTTAAGATTTAGGACTGATGGTTAGATTGGGCTCAAGCTTGGACTTGAATGTATTCTATTCATCAAGAGGCGAAGCACAACCCGACCCATGAACAAAATAGGTCTACTTATACATCATAAAACTTTAAAGGCTTGGTTCGGGTTGATTTTAGGCCTTCCCCATTTCTGCATTTGATGCGATCCATTAACAATACACGCTTTGCCATATCCAACTATTTTTCCTTCCCACAGTTCACCATCTCACAGTGTCCCACAACAAATCTCAGCACATATAGAATTCGGATCTCCTGCTTGCAAGAACTCTGCCCATGTCTACCCATATAACATTACAATCACACATGAGGAACAATTCATCCTCCTACATATATTATGCATAAAGAGATGTTCCCAATGTATGGAGGTATGTTGTGGGTAAACGTGAGTGGAGTTCTTATAGACAAGAGATCCAGAGTCGTATTGAAAACATCTTCTTGTAATGCAATACAGAGTTGGAATCTACTGTAAAAGCATGTAGAGTCGCGCTGTGAAGATCTAATGCGATCGAGAATCGAGATCGGATTCAGTGTTCACAAGACCCTATTCATACTATTTTCAATCTTTTATAACTGTATATTGAGAATATCTATTTACTTGTATTTGTCTGCTTTCTTTTAGAGATATTCTCGATGAAAGGCTGCAAGTGATGTGTGAACGGTGTGAGCACGGTATTGTGACTAGTAAATCCTATTTCAATGAGATCACCCATAAAATGCGGGTCCCAAAAACTTTTGTCCATTATGCAAATAGTAAAACAAGAGGAAGCCATCGCAACCACCAATAACAGACCGTCAACAAGTAACTAATCTTACCGTTTGATTCATATCACATTTATAGGTTTTGCACAACTGACGACCTGGATCAACGGATCATGGAGTCTATATTAAGCCTACCCGAAAAGCTGCAGTGAAACTTCATCGGGAGGGTTTGACATTTTTGAGTGGTTCGGTGTTTGGGTTTTTTACTGAGAGTCGGTCTCGGTCAGTTTTTCTGTCCCTCTATCCTCCTTAAGCCTTCTGACTCCTTATCCATATATCACAACTTTTCTTTCTCTCCTTAAGCGCTTTCTGAAGCTCTTGCTCACAGTCGCTTCTTCTTTCATATCTTCTGGAATTCCCACACTGTGACCGTCTTCCTTTCTCTCTTCATACTGCTGTAGTTCCTTCAACCTATCCATCTATGCATGTATCCAGAGAACTTTAGAAGATTCGCAAACAGAAAATGGCGTGTCTGTTGCCACAGTTCAAGTGCTCACCAGACACCCTCTCTATCCACTTCAAAACTCACCAACATCAACACCACTACAGCAACAATAGCCAGTGTAAGTTAGGTCTTTAATTTTCTTCTTTGTCATTCATTTTATTTTTTCTTCCCTATTTGAATTCTCGTATTGTTGTTGTAATATAACTTTAGTTTCTTTCCACAATAATGCGTAGAAGAAGAAAATATTTGGATTTGGAGTAATGGGACTATTCTGTCACTTTGTTTTCTGCTATCTTTCTTTTCAAAGATTTGAAGAAACTATAATGTTGAAGGAATATTTCTTATGACTACTGTAAGATAGCTTTAATTTCGTTTTTTCTTGAGGTTTTCTTATTTTTGAAATTTAACCTATATGATTTATCGAGGTGCATTCTGGAATTGGCAGTCCCCTTTTCAAAATTTGTTTATGGTATGTAAATGAAGAAATGCTTGTCTATGTGTTTGATGCATAAATTAACAGGTATAAGTTATATGGTTATTTTGGATACTCTGTTATTGGATTTGATGTTTTCCATGAGATGAGATAGATGAGTGGAAGAACTACAAAGAATAGGGTCAGAAATGAAGTCATTTGAAGGAACCTAGAAATAGCAGCAATAGGTGATAAAATGAGAGAAAGTAGAATAAGATGGTTTGGTACGTGCATATAAGACCATTGACAGCATCTGTAAGTAGAAAGTGATCTGTTTGCAAGTTGAAGGGGCTGGAAGAGGGAAGAGCTAGTGTTATGTGCCTTAGGAGAACTCACCCTTAAAAGATAGTTGTTAGAGGGAGGGAACCCAAGCACATATATACCCCACAACAACATCCCATTACTACCAATGTGGGATACCTCACATTAGCATCCCATACTACCAATATGGGACAAATGGATCGTAACAGCTAGGGGCAAACCAAAATGGACATATGTTGAAGTAGTAAGAAATGGTATTTAGTGCATGTAGCCATCCCCATATAGCTGGGGCCTGGAATAAGGCTTAGATGATGATGGTGACGACGATGACAATATGATCTTTTTCCCATTATTCTGTAGAAATACTTCTATCCAAGGTTCAATGTATCGATACACCTGATACCCAAGAACTTGCATATCAGGTGTATGGAAGGCACATTACTTTTTTTTGAGTTTTCCCCCCAAAAATTTACAGGGGGTTGGTATTAGGCTTGCCTACACCCTGAAAGTGGTCAAAACCCCCAAACCCCTTTATTTAGTATATTGGGGACTTGCCGATACAATATGATACACCCAATAAAGGGTGTATTATATAAAAAATTCGAACCTTGCTTTCATCGGAAATCTTAATTTAACCTGCTTGTCCACTCTCAGGTAAAAATTGTTATATTGTGATGCCTTGTCCTTGCAATCCATGTCCTAGAATGTATTATGCAATTCTATTTAAATATTCAGAATGATTAGCACATATGTAATCATGATTCTGGAATTTAACTAGATGATTTTTTCCTTTCTTGTTCATTACTTGATGGTTATGTCTGAAGTGAAAACAGAAGCATCTATCCTTTTCTGTTTTATTAAAATGAACCATGATGATATCTTCTTACCAGCATGTCAATTTGGAAGAACCATTGATTAATGAAATTTTATTAGATCAGATTGAAATTGTTTTTCAGTCTTGGTTGCTTTAAATGTGCAGTGAAGGCTAGAGATCTTCTTTGCTTCCGGACACAGTGTATCCTCTCCACAACAACAGCAACTATGACAACTACAGTGGTTGATGATGAAAAGCTGAGAATGCCTTCTTTAGAAGCTCATTTAATTTCAGTACCAGCTGACAGACCCTTGACTTATATTGGGGCTATTGATCCACCCACAAAGGTCAGATTTAATTTATTTCAGACGCCAAAGGAAAAAGTTCTAAAATTTTATTGAGGAGGCCCTATATTTCCATTCCAAGATGACATATCTTACCTATATGCTTTCTATGGATTCATTGCTATCCTAAACTGAAAACAAGCGAATTCTTGTGGCCTAATTCCTAAGATTGCAACACGGCACACTCCTCTTTGTGGTCTGTGATATTTGACTATAGACATCTTGGATTGTTAGGCTAACATTTGTAGCTGAATTGTCTTAATAATTTAGTATAAGCAATTAGAAGTTTTAATTTTTTGGTATTATTTGCATCTATTAGCTTCTACATTAAACTTTTGTCTTTGTTTTTTTTTTTTTGATAAATCTTTTGTCTTTTTTTTGTTGGTAATGAATAGAATAAGTATTCAAGAAAGGGGGGGGGGGGGAGATAAAAGAATTCCTTGCATTTTCTCATAACTTCTTGTTAATTCTGTTGTTTCCCATTATTAATAAAATTCTGTTTTTGTGTTTCTGATAAAAAAAAAATTCCTTGCATTCCACTCCCTAACTTCTACATTAAACTTTTATCTTTCATTTTTTTTTTGTTGGTAATGAATAGAATAAGTATTCAAGAAGGGGGGGGGGTAAAAGAGTTCCTTGCATTTTCTCACCTTCTTGTTAATTCTGTTGTTTCCCATTATTAATAGAATTCTGTTTTTGTGTTTCTGATAAAAAAAGAGTTCCTTGCGTTCCACTCCCTAACTTCTACATTAAACTTTTGTCTTCTTTTTTGTCGGTAATGAATAGAATAAGTATTCAAGAAAGGGGGGTGGGGTGGGGGTAAAAGAGTTCCTTGCATTTTCTCACCTTCTTGTTAATTCTGTTGTTTCCCATTATTAATAAAATTATGTTTTTATGTTTCTGATAAAAAAAAAGTTCCTTGCATTCCACTCCCTAAGGAGGCATATTAGCACATGGAAGTGCAAAAGCACTCATCTCCAAAATCAGGTGCCTGAGAGTGACTCTAAAAACTTCTGATCCATCCACTGAGAGCAAAAAAAATTCTTATCCACCCAACAGTCCCCCCCACACACACAAAAAAAAAAGGAAAAGAAAAGAAAAGAAAAGAAAAATATAAAGGAGAGAGGGAGTGACTGGAATTGGCTATTACTGGGTCAGTACCTGCAAGAAATTAATTTGAAGGAACTTTAACCATGACACTAGTTGGTACACAAGTTTCAGCTGTTATGCATACCATCAGCTGTTATGCATTCTAATCATATGTAGTAGCATATTTTCTGGTTAAAACCAATTAGAAATAGCAGTTGGCTATTTTTTAATGAACAATGCACTTGATTGAGGGCAAGCCTTTTAGATGGAACCCAGACAGAGTTTGACCAAATATGCAGCTAAAATTTCCATCTACTGAGAAAACTCTTACATATTCTGGTCCAAGCAATTCCAAGCTTTTGATGGAATTGAAAGTTGAAAGGAAACTTCTTTATCAAGCTAAAGCATCATATCCTCTAAAATGTAAACATGGCATTTAAAAGATGTATAATCCTGAAAACTAACTTAAACTTAGAGACATGATTTTCATGGTAGTAATCTGAGCCCAAGTAGTAGCCATGCACCTTGTTGTGTAGGTGCCTACTACCTAGGTGACTGGCCTTGCAACCACTTGTGACAAAACAGATCCCGGAGATGATCATGTTCACTTGGAACTTAACCATTTGATGCATCAATGGTTAGCAAACAACCTTCATATCATAAACAATGTAGTAATCTGCATCAGGAAAGGTTTTTTACATTGCAATGCACATGAAATGGTGTGAACTCCATATGGGTGAGTTACTCTGAAAACCATCTAAATAAGAGCTGTATTGTTGATATAAACATGGGAGAGGAGTTATGAAGGTACATTAGTATTTGGAGTGTTTAGTGACATAGTGGCCAATGAGATACCTAGGTCTCCCTCTAGGAGGAAGACTAAGATCGATTAGTTTTTGGAATCCTATTCCAGATATATTCTTTAAAAAATTAGCGACTTGGAAGAGAAATTACATCTCACTGAGAGGTACAATTACCCTAATACATTCAACTGTAGCTATAATTTTATGGATATTATGTGTTGACATTTAGAATTCTTGTTTTCTCTGTCAATATTGGAAAGGTGACGAGGGCTTGAAGAGGGAGCATTAACTAAATGGAAAATTGTATGCAAAAGAAAGGAGGGAGGTGGGCTGGGGTTGGTCAACCTTGTAAAGAGAAGTTCAGCTCTTCTTTGGAAGTGGTTATGGAGGTTCCAGATGCGTAAGTTGTGGCATAATGTGCTCCTTTTCTCACCTCCTTGGAAAAAAGGCAAAATAATGTGAAGAACTCATCTAGGGTAGGGGAACTCAGCTAGAGCTGAACTTTTAGCTACACTTCAATGGGCTGAATTGGCAAGACAGGTGAATATTGATAATTGGTCATTGACTTCAAGGGACTCAAAGTTGGTAACACACTGATTAAAGAACCCGGAGGCAGCAAATTTGGGTTTATGGGGACGGGCTGGGGGGGACTTTTTTGAAGGGTAAAAAGAAAGTTCATTAAAAATAAAAAGAACAGCAGAAGGTGATAAGAAATAACCAACCATCTGAAAACCCACTCAAGAGGCCCAATAAGATCCAATACGAACACAACTTACATCAGTGAAACATGACCAAACACCCAAAGGAAAAATGAAAGTGCAAACCCAACCAACCCCAAAAACAAGAGACACAAGCCTGATACTAAGCAAATCGCATCTCCCTTTCCTGAATCCTGCTTCAGTCTTCATCTGTAAGCAAATCTTCTTGGATTGAACAATCCTCGCCCCATGCCCCTTTTCTTTGTGAGACAGCTTTGTTTTTATCTTTCTCTTACTTTCTTCTTCTTTCAAATTCCTCGAAAGCTTTCCTAGCAAATTCATCACCTTCCCAGAAAAACAGGCCCAAATTTTCCCAGTCGTGACTTCTCTATCAACTAAATTCTGTAATGTCATGCCACTAGATTCTTCTTCAAGTAACTCAGGATTCTGCTGCGGCTGGACCACAGTAGAATCAGAACTGTTGCTCCTCTTGTCTTCCTGATGATCCTTCAACATAGTGGAAGCCGGAGGCTGGGCAGGCATAGTTATCCCCCTATGGTCAGGGACAGTTGGCTTGTTACCTCTCCATCTTTTTCTTCTGTACACCCATTTGAAATTTTTTGTAGGTCCTACACCTGCTGCGGGGGGGGGGGACTTAAAGAGATTTAAATGACTTACAGTTATTTGACTTTGAGAATTAAATGGGAAAGAAGATCGGATATGGAATGACAAATTGTCTAGCTAAGCAACCTTTTCTGCTTAATAATTTCTTTGTTTACTTATAAAAAAAGCAATCAGTATGCTCGGAAGCCTCTATAACATCATTGCCTAAGTGTCAGCAAATAGGCTTAAAGGAGTTTTAAGGGATATAGTAGCTAAATCTTTAAGTGCCTTTGTTGGTGGAAGACAAATAATTAAGTGTTTTGATTGCAAATAAGGTTGAGGAGAGAAAATGGTAAGACATGACCGTAGTGGTTTCCAAAATTGATCTTGAAAAGTGTTGGTTCGGCTGATATTTTGTTATCCTCTTGTCTGGGTTGGGTATTAAGTCTTTAGTTACTGGGCCTTAGTTACTGGGCCTATTTTTATTTAGTGTCTTATTTGACTGGGTGTCCCATCACTAATCAGGGGCATCCTGGTCCTTTTATG